GCAGTTTATTTATAGTAGACGGTGGCACATAATGGAATATTCCATTGAATGAATACAACATGACTCATTAAACCATACTCTTATTGACTGATGTCTTGTTTGTTCCAGAGTCATGATTGTGGCACTGTACTCCAGCCTAGGCGAGGCAAAACAACCCACCTAATAATGTGATCATAACATGCATTCTGCTTTGTGTTTTAGAAATGTATTAAGGACAGCTCTCACCGCCCCCCCCCCTTGAAATCACAAGTAATATATCACTTGGAAAACAGTTTTAAACATTGAAAAAAGCTATCAAATGAAAAATTAGTCTTCCCAAAGATAACTATTAACAATTTCTTCTATGTCCTTATAGGAGTATTTTTATCTGTATACCATTTTTTGTGAATGTGTGTGACATTGAACATTTACTCCCTGTCAGGCATTGCTCTAGGTTCTTTATATGTTTTATCTCATTTAATCCTTACAACCCTATGAGGTAAATAACATTAGTATCCTTATTTTGTATGTGAAGAAACTGATATGCAGAGCACTTAAGCCACTTGCTCAAGTTCACATAGCTAATAAATGGTAAGACCAGTGGTCTAATCCAGACCACCTAACTCCAGAGCTCAGGATCTACTTTATATTGCTTTTGAGGCTTTTTTAATTTTTATTTTAATAAAGAGTCTTGCACTGTTGCCCTGGCTGGAGTGCAGTGGCACGATCTTAGCTCGCTGTAACCTCCACCTCCTGGGTTGAAGCAATTCTCCTGCCTCAGCCTCCCGAATAGCTGGGATTACACCACCACGCCTAGCTAATTTTTGTATTGTTAGTAGAGATGGGGTTTCACTATGTTGGCCAGGCTGGTCTCGAACTTCTGACCTCGTGATCCACCCGCCTTGGCCCCCCAAAGTGCTGGGATTACAGGCATGAGCCACTGCGCCTGGCCTTGAGGCTTTTTTTAAAATGACTGCATAATATTCCATTGAATGAATACAACATGACTCATTAAACCATACTCTTATT